TCCCCCTGCTTGTGCTCTCTCTCTCTGTGTCAAATAAATAAATAAAATCTTTTTTTTTAAATGAGGGTAATGGGGTAAAAATGGGGCATTCTTAGCACCCAGCCTGGTCCAAAGCATGGGGGGAGGGAGGAGGGAGGGACAGGGAGGGCGGGAGGAAGGAATCCCTGACAGGTGCTTCCATACACACACAGTTGCCAAACCTTTGCCAGTGTTTGGCTGGCTGGGCTGACTTAGAAGCAGGCTGGAACTGGGCTCAGGTAGACTTTGGCGGGGCAGGGGTGGGCGGGGGGGCGAGTCCTTCACCACTCACCAGCCTCGTGACCTTGAGCAAGTCTCTCTGAACTTTGGTTTCCCTTCTTTGAAGATTGCTGGAAATAGCAGTCCACCCTGTGCTGGCTCAGGACCAAGCCCTTTCACCCCTAGCAGTGCTGTCACCATCTCCCCTTTCCAGAAAGTCAGAAGTGAGCCCAAGATCTTGCGGCTAGTAATGGGGAATTTGGGGGGGTGTTCTTGGTAGTCACGGTGGACAGGGAGGCCAAGTGGGACAGTCGCATGCAGAATTGTCCCACATCCTGCAGGCATTTGAGTGTCCTGCTAGACATTCATGAAGCAAAACACTCATTTACAATGACCTGAGCAAAAACACTCATTTACAATGACCTGAGCCTAGAACCTACCCCATCCCATGTAGTGATGAAGCCCACCACCTTGTAAGAACCCCACATCTCAGGTGCCTGAGTGGCTCAGTTGGTTAAGCGTCTGCCTTCGGCTCAGGTCATGATCCCAGGGTCCTGGGATCGAGCCCCATGTCGGGCTCCCTGCTCATCGGGGAGCCTGCTTCTCCCTCTTCCTCTGCCCCTCCCCCATGCTCCCCCATGCTCATTCTCTCTCTCTCTCAAATAAATAAATAAAATCTTAAAAAAAAAAAAGAACTCCATATCTCCTTGTGGTCTCCACCTTAATTTTTCTGGGTATGTTATCTTTGCTTAAGATTACTTTCCTTTTTCCCTTATCATCAGATCTGTTATTATTGGTGGGAAGGAATCAGTATCTTCCAGCTGGACTAAGAATTAAATTGACATGAGATAGATTAACAACAGAAAAAAAGCAAAGTTTTATTATGTATGCATGAAGGCCCCGTCATGAAATTCAGACCTAACGAAATGACTGAGGCACGTAGTTTTTATCCTTTTAGACAAAGAGACAGTAAAACTGTGAAGGATTGAAAGGACCAAGAAAACTTCATAAATTAGTAAAAAAAAAAAAATAATGAACCTCTCGGCTCTAAATGTCCTATCTCTGGTGGTAAGGGTGTCTCTTTACCTCCCAGTATAGGGAGGGGACCTTTTGCCTGGGAGATTTATCTCTTGCTTTCGGGGTACAGAGGAGGGTCTGAGAGCTAGCCTCACATCGGCTATCTCTTAAGTAGCTTTTATTTTAAAATAACCAATATGTGGGGACACCTTGGCGGCTCAGTCAGTTAAGCATCTGCCTTCAGCTCAGGTCATGATCCCAGGGTCCTGGGATGGAGCCCTGCATCGGGCTCCCTGCTCCGCGGGGGCAGGGAGCCTGCTTCTCCCTCTCCCACTCCCCCTGCTTGTGTTCCCTCTCTCGCTGTGTCTCTCTCTGTCAAATAAATAAATAAAATATTTTTAAAAAGAGAGAAAACGCAAACTACCTTGTTTAAAATAAATAAATAAATAAATAAATAAATAAATAAATAAATAAATAAATAAAATAACCAATATGCAAAAGCGGCACATTTTGGGGCGGCTTTCCCCTGGCCCTTACGTAATGATCCCAAACTGTGTTTTATTCAAGTGACCTCACTTTCATTTCCTGGATGTTCAAGAATTCACAAATCAACGAAACCTGAAAAACAAAAACTAAATTTAATTCTGGCTCACGCCAGGGAGAAATGTAAGCAGAAGTGCCTCTTCTTGTGAAGCAAAGGACGAAGCTGGGTTATTACAGGGTTCGGGGAAGGTGAAATTAGGTAACATTGAGATGAAACAGTGTATGAATGGGCTCACAGCGAAGTGGGAATGGGAGCAGAGACGGCCCCAGCCCATCCTATTGTGCTGGAGACCAAGAAGGTTAAAAAAAAAAAAAAAAAAAAGTTGGAAGGTTGTGTCGGCCTCCTTTCCTGCCCGGGCCTGGGAGAGCCGGTCCATAAACCTCAGTGAAAACAAGGGTGGGCAGGGTGTGGCCTCTCCGGGTGAACTCAACCCACACAGGGCAGATCCCTTCAGGCGAGGGTGGAAAATTCCACTTTTCATGTGGTTCTTACCCGAATCCCTTCCCTTAATTCATATTAAAGAGGTCCAAACACCTGTTTACTTCATGTCTTCTACCCCAGTATATCCACGTTTTGAAAGACATTATTTCATGGTAAATCGATTTCCTGGGGCGCCTGGGTGGGCTCAGTTGGTGAAGCGCCTGCCTTCGGCTCGGGTCATGATCTCGGGGTCCTGGGATGGAGTCCCCCCCACATTGGGCTCCCAGCTCAGCGGGGAGTCTGCTTCTCCCTCTCCCCCTCCCCCCGCTCATGCTCGCTCTCTCGCCAATGAATAAATAAAAAAATCCCAAAAGGGAAACTAAAAAAAATCGATTTCCTTTTACGTCTCCTTTACCTTATAGGGACGGCAGTATTTTTTTTTTGGAAATTATGTGGATAACTCCTGCAGTGCAGTTTACGCGGTACCAGGCCCCTTTGCAAGTGTCCTTCCCTGTGGTGTCTCACTCCATTCGCTCACCAACTCTGTGAGGTCAATGCAGTTATCATCATCCTCATTTTTACAGTAGAGAAAACCGGGGCACAGAGAGGGAAGGCGACTTGTCCGGGGTCACCCAGGAAGTAGTAGATCAAAGGTTTGAACCCAGGGCAGCTGGCTCCAGAATCCGCACTCTTAACCACTCTGCTAGCCTCCCTCTCGGGGGAGGGAAACTACCTAGGGACCTGCTCCTCCCCCCCCCCCACAGCTCAGGATATTAGGGGGCTTTCCGGATGTTTCTTATTGAAAAGGGGTGTTGGGTGTGTTAGGGGTGAGAACCCCTGACCTAGTTCGTGGTGTGTCCTTCACGCCACAATCTGCCACCAGGGTCCTGAGTCTGAGCCAGAATGGGGGTGGGGGTCAGCTGTTGGGGCAAGGGGCCGGGGACGGACAGGAAGGAGTTGGCCAGGTGAGGCCCTCGGATCCCCACTGGCCATGATGCCAAGGACCGTTTATGCTCAGACTCTGCCTCTTTCCTCCTCCTCCCTGAGGGGCGGGGATCTCCTCTGTGGAAAAATACCCAGCTGGGCGAGCCCCAGTGAGAGGGAGGAGGCGAGGGGAAGGGGCTGGGACTCACAGGACCGACTCTTGCCCCCTCTCGTGATTGCTGTTTACTGGGCCGGGTTCTGGGAAAGCGCCAGATTGCATCAGACAGGGCCTGAGGAGGACACGTGGCCTTATAAGTTGGGGCCGGTGAACAGGGAGGTGTCGGGAAACCAGACACAAACAAAGCTTTTGAAGACGACAGAGAGAGAGAGAGAGAGAGAGACGGCGAGAGAGAGTCAGATACAATGGCCTCCTTGCCGAGAGCAGCCAGCCCGGCCCGGCAGCCCCCAGGCCCAGAGGACGAGGACCCCAGCCTGGATGAGTACGACCTCTGTAGCCTGGCTCATTCCTACCTGGGTAAGGTCTGGCCCTTTCCCCCGCTTGGTCCCTCCACCTCCAACCCCACACTCCCAACTAGGATGCCTCCTTGGCCTTCTCCCCACCCCCAACCCGTTCTCTTGACCCCTCGAGTCATCTCATCTAACCCCTGGGCCACTGAGTCCTGTCCTGCACAGCCCTGGGACCTCACGCACCCCTAGACTATGGGAGCAACAACAGACCATCGGGGGCCCCTCACTCCACAGACGGGGCAACGGGGATTATGACTGCCCCAAAGCTAGGTGGTGACCACTCCCCAGTCTGCCTCCTCCAAACCATGCCCCTTCCACCCCGCACTCCCGGCCCCCTGCCTCTCCTCGGATGTACCATGCCTCCGTTCGCCTCACCTCAGCCTCTTGCCTGGTTCCCAGGAGGGGGAGGCCGGAAAGGTCGCACCAAGAGAGAAGCTGCCGCCAACACCAACCGTCCCAGCCCTGGTGGCCATGAGAGGAAGCTGGTGACCAAGCTCCAGAACACGGAGCGGAAAAAGCGAGGGGCACGGTCCTGAGGCGGAGCTGGAAGGAAGGAGTCGGGCGACCCAGAGGTCCCTCCGCCTCGGAAGGATGTGCCTGGATGTGTATGGTTGGGTGGGAAGAAGGGACCCAAGAGCCGTTGTCTCAACATAGAATAAAATGAGACACGCATTCGACTCTGAGTTTCCTAGGGACCAGAGCAAAGGGGGAAACACAGAACCTTTCCAATTGGAGGGACATTTGGTTTATGGGGAGGGACACCGAGGCCCAGGGAGGCTAGGGTCCTTCTCTGGAGACACAGTGACCAGGACAGACGGGGTTAGAACCATCCCTCTCCTCCCTTGCCCTAGATGAGGCCAGAGCCTCCGACACCACCCGGCGACGGAGGCAGGACCACGGAGAATCGGAGAATCGGCACCTGAGGGCAAGGCCCAGGCCTGCTTCCCCCTACTTCTCTCCCCAGGACTCACCCTACCTGACTGAGGCTCTGAGGGGCCACCAAGGAAGTGCCCCCAGCCCCAGCAAAAGGACAAGATAGGGAGTAAGAGGCAGGGAATGGAGAGGCACAGTCGCAAAAAAAAAAAAAAAAAGCCCCTAAAAAGAAAGACAGCTAAGAAATTGGACCTCCCTCAGGGTGGGAAGGACAATAAACAAAGTACAGCTGCAGCTTATGTGTGGGATTTGTCCCCTCTCTACGTGGTGGTGGGTGTCCGCGTTTCTGCCCGCGCATGCCTGTGTTTGCGCCAGCCCCAGGTAGCCGGTTTCGTCAGCGTCTGTGTTTGGTTGTGTGCCTGGGAGAGGGTGTACCTGATTTTGCCTGGACGGGTAGAGGCCAGCGTGTTATTTTGGCGCGCATATGTTCTGGAGACCGTGTCTCCGTGGTTTCTTAGGAAATGCAAGAAAAATTCCTGTTTCTTTGTCATGCTGCCTGGGAAACAAGCCCCCCCCCCCCCCGGCTCCTCTCCATTTCTAGAAAAAACAATCTTATTGATCATATCATTTTCATATAAAACCACCTTCTGGGGGCGACTGGGTGGCTCAATCAGTTAAGCTTCCGACTCTTGATCTCGGCTCAGGTCTCCCTCCCAGGATCGTGAGTTCGAGCCCCTCGTTGGGGCCACACCCAGCGTGGAGCCTGCTTACAAATAAGATAAAATAAAAAATATATAAAAACCACCTTTTGAAGTGAATGGTATTTACTGGTGCCAAACGCAAAATGGAGAAAACTAGGATTTAGAACATTAAGGGATTTGCCCCAGATTACCGAGGGCTCAAATTCAAGGGTTCTCACTGTCCTCACCTATGGGGCCAGCCCCTCCGTCAAAGGGGTTGTCAGGACAGGGTTCTGGGAGGTCAGTGGGGGGAGGAAGATCCTTACCTCGTATACATACCCGTCTCAGGACCAGAGTTTGAGAAGGACATAGGGCAGATAAGAGGATCTATTGATTGAGATACAGGTTTGGGCTGCTGTAACGAAGACTCAAAATGGGATAGAAAGTTCTCCCTCTGTCACATAACAGCTCCAAGGGTCAGTACTCTTGGGCTAAAACGACAACTTCACTGTGTCAGGGATTCTAGCTACTTTTAGCCTCATTATTCTGCCACCCTCAAAACACGGCTTCCCCGGCGCTTGGGTGGTTCAGTCCATTGAGCGTCTGACTCTTGGTTTCAGCTCAGGTTGTGACCCCAGGGTCATGAAATCGAGCCCTGCGTCGGGCTCTGTGTTCAGCATGGAGTCAGCTTGAGATTCTTTCTCCCTCTGCCCCTGCCTCTCTCAAATAAATAAATAAATCTTAAAAAAAAAAAAAACCCACACACACTCAAAAACAAACCATGGCTTCCACTTTGGGGTCCAAACAAGCAGCTTGGGTACCTGCCATCACATCTGTATCTCAATCTGTGGAAAGGGAGTAAGTAGGGAAGGGACCAGGGGAAGCCACACCAATTCATTTTTAAGGCCATGACCTAAAAGTAGAATCCATTACATTGGGTCAGAATTTAATTACATGGCCACACCTAACTACAAGAGAGGCTGGGAAACATGGTATTTAGGTGCTTAGCCATGTGTTGGCCAAAACTTGGGGAGGGCAGGAGAGTGAATACTGGAAAAAACTAGCAAGAAACATTTTCCACAGGCAGACTCAACAGGAGGAGGGAGAACACCCCTAGGCCCTGGCCAGAGCATTTTTCCGTTTCTCCTGCCCTTTCATGTAAGCCCTAGGCTGCAAAACTTGGAGCCAATTGTTCTTAGGGATACGAGCAGAGGGATGAGGCACGTGTTGGAGCAGTAATAGGTACACAGCCCACCCGGACCAGCTTGAACCTCTGGGAATCTCAGTCCATCGGCCTCCCCTGAGTCTGACCTACTAACAGTCACAGACTCTCTGGCTGGGTAGAACATTAGAGGACATCTAGTCCAACCCCACCGCACTCCAGACCGGGGTTGCCTCTGCTTGCTTGAATACCACTAGGGACAGGGAACTTGCTGCCTTTGAGTTGCCTGATTCCTTCTCAGAGCACCTTGTTAATGTGGGCTGAAGAGGCACCTGGGTGGCTCAGTCAGTTAAGCATCTGCCTTTGGCTCAGGTCATGATCCCAAGGTCCTGGGATTGACCCCACCCCCCAAAATCGGGCTCCCTGCTCAGCGGGGAGTCTGCTTCTCCCTTTCCCTCTGCCCCTCCCCTCCCCCAGCTTGTGCTCTCTCTCTCTCTCTCTCTCTCTCTCGAATAAATAAATAAAATCTTTTTTAAAAAAATGTGGGCTGAAATCTAACTAACTCTCCCACCTGCCCCCGAACAAGCTTCTGCTCCTCTGGGCCTTTCTGCCTGAGATACCTTCAATCTCACCCACCCTGCAAGGCTCAGTCAGCTCTTCAAAGTCTTCCATCACCAGCCCTCCACCACCCCCTGTCCCCTCATCTCCACCCAGGGAGACCCTTGCTCTGGAATCACAGGCACAGCAAACCTGTGCCCAGGTTCTCACAAGCATTTGGCATACAGCTCCTTCAGACTTCCCCTTGAGCCCCTCTTTCCGTGATAGATTATTTATTCACTCAGTTAATGCCTATCGGATGCCTCTTGTATTACCAGGGCCTGGTTGAGGGCATGGACTGCAAAGAGGGACAAATGAGACCCTGGTATGATTGGAACCAGGCCTTAGGGCCAATGGCCACTCTTGAACTCAGCAGGCAGATGGGAGGAGCAGCTCTATGCAGTGAGCTCTCAGCCCAGCACGGATCTGGTGTGTCAGCTTCAAAAAATCATGGCCACAGCTCCCAAGTATCGGGCTTACTGCTCTGTGATAGGTGTTTTATAGGCATTGTCCCATTTAATCCTTCCAATAACCCAACAGGCAGACTATTATTGATCTTATTTTCCAGCCCAGAAAACCAAGGTTCAGAGAAGGTAGGTAACTGGCCCAAAGTCACACAGCCACAAACTGCAGGAGTGGGATTTTGAACTTAGGTCTAATTTTTGAAGCCTAGGCCTTTCCTTTTTCACTATGTGCCTGAGAATAACCATGTACTGACAATGTGGAATCCTAGGTGTTAGTTAATTTCTGGTTAATTATTCCTTCTGAGCCTCAGTTTCCTGTCCTGTCAAAAGATACTTTATTTTTTTAAAAAAGATTTTGTTTATTTATTTGACAGAGAGAGACACAGTGAGAGAGGGAACACAAGCAGGGGGAGCGGGGGAGGGAGAAGCAGGCTTCCCGCCGAGCAGGGAGCCCGATGCGGGGCTCGATCCCAGCACCCTGGGATCATGACCGGAGCCGAAGGCAGACGCTTAACGACCGAGCCACCCAGGCGCCCCCAAAAGATACGTTAAAGGAGAAAACACAGTCTGCAAAGTGCTGTGTCTCTAGCTGAACCTGGCCACTCCCTGTGCTCTGAATCCTTTGACACTTCGCCAGAAGGCCCCACATGCTAGTCTCACTCCTGGCCTCTGGTTGGCCTTCCCTGGCCTTGCCCTTCCCTGGCACAGTCTCTGCCTGGGAGGCCTTTAGGCTGTTCCAGGAACCAGATAATTCCTGGAATTACTGAATGTTCAGATCCTGGGAGTTAGAGCCCCATTCTCTACCCTTTGCAGAAGGGCCTGGTGGGGCAGGGGGCAGGGAGTGGCTGAAATTCCCATGAGGACCTGGTCGGGCCGAGAACCCGCTCTTGACTCTCCCCACCCAGAGCCTCCCTCTTCCGTTCCACCCACTCTTCTACCCTCTTCCTTTTTGATCCCCTAGTTGCACGTAACGTCTGTCTCCCCGGTTTCTAGGGTTCCTCCTGAGAACGGAGGGACGACTGACCTCAACTGCCCCTCGGAAGCTTACGGATGTTTCCCCATCAGGTTTCCACGGTTCAAAGGATTCCCAGCTCATTGCCGAGAATCAGGACACTCACCATGGGGCTCTTTATTGGCTTCCCAGACACCTAGGCCTCTTACGCCCACTCAGCTCTCAGATGGGTATTTTTTTTTAATTTCAAAATCACCCCATAGTTGATTTTTAACTGGCCCTCCTTAAAGGCAATGCTAATAATAGGCACAGTGAAGGCTACCATTATTGATCGTCTGCCCTAGGGTTTTCCCGGTCTCATCTCACTGAGTGCTTCTGTGATTTCTACCCTAAGTGCATTTGGCTATACCATTTGCCTACTTAGAACTTTTAAAATGACCTCCTTACCTTCTTCACTCAAATATATTTTAAAAGGAGATCAGGGGCACCTGGGTGGCTCAATCGGTGAAATGTTCCGACTCTTGATCTCAGCTCAGGGCTTGATCTCAGGGTCGTGAGTTCAAGCCTACTTTAAAAAAAAGAGAGAGACGACATAACCACCGAAAGTGGAAAACCACAATCACTTGCCATAACTAGAATTTTATAAAAAGAAACACCTAACTATAACTTTTTTCAGTCCACCTGTGCACACCGTCGATGACCTTGTGCGAGAAGAGTCACAGGTGTTCACACTTGGAGAAATACTGCTTGTTTACGAGCCAGACACTCTGCCAGGTGCTTTGCATACACGGGAGGAGGCCTCATCGTCATCACTTGGTTACAGATGAGTTAAAGAAGACACGGATGCCTGGCTTCCCCTCCCAGAGACTCTGATTTCATTGGTCTGCGGTAGAGCCAGGGCTTTGGGAGTTTGGAGAGTGACTCTAACGTGCAGTGATGTTTGAGGACGTCTGATAACATTGGGCTTTTGTCTTGGGTTGCATATACCGAACACGGTCACAGCAAGGGCTCCCAAACCCTGTGCTCTCCTTACCATGTGGCCTTGCCACCTTCCCATCAAATGGGGGACACGGGACTGTGTTCCCTTTTTTTTTTAAAGATTTTATTTATTTGACAGAGACACAGTGAGAGAGGGAACACAAGCAGGGGGAGTGGGAGAGGGAGAAGCAGGCTTCCCGCCGAGCAGGGAGCCCGATGCGGGGCTCGATCCCAGGACCCTGGGATCATGACCTGAGCTGAAGGCAGACGCTTACCAACTGAGCTACCCAAGTGCCCAGGACTGTGTTCCTTTGAACATGGGAGGAACTCCCCCAGAGTTCCTGGCCTGATAGTGTCAGGCAGAAGGCGTGGCAGCATAACACACCGCAACACCATGCACTTCTACCTTGTGCTCTGGAGCCCAGTCGCCCTGCTATGAGAAAGTCCAAAACAACACACATGAGGAGATGACGTGGCAAGGCCACGTGTCGATGTCATTCTGGTCTTCGGCCCCGCTTAAGCCCCAGCTGAAAGCCAAGCGTGTGAGCGAAGGGAGCCTGCAGATGGTTCCAGCCCTCGCTGTAGAGTCACCTCCAGCCACTGAGTCTTCCGCGATGAGGCCCGACATACAGGGGACCAGAGACAAGCCCCCGCCAATTGCCCACCTACAGACTCAGAGCATAATAAAATGTTCATTGCACAGCATTATGTTTGGGGATGGTTGGTTACACAATAGTGACTGGAACAGCCTTATGGTCCCCCAGACCCATGTCCAGATCCTGTCTGCGAACCTGGCTGTGACCTGAGACAAGTTATTATTTACTCTCGATCTTGACATCCACATCTGCGAATAGGAGATGAAGAGTACACCCACCTCCTGGAATGGCTTTGAGAACTCAAGGAAGTGGAGCTTTTCAAGCACTTAGCAGGGTACCCGACCCCGAACAAGAACTTAAGGAAAC